TGGTGACATGTTACCACAGTCTCAATGGACTTTATTTTTTTTATGAATTTTTTAATACTTCACAGTAAACCTTGTTAGTCTTTCCTCTTATTGACAGTATGTGAGCATCTTAATTGGTACAATAAGATGATACCTTTTGATGCTGTGAGACACTCTCTTACCTCTGGCCATGGGGATTTGGGGTACTTGCAGGACTTGAATTCTGTGAGTTCCCTGGATTGCTGCAATGACTGCTGCCTATGAACGAGCAAAACAAAATTTATATTAAAAAGAAGCAGAAGAAGAAGAAAGCATACATATACTTGATCCCTACCAAATGAAATGACAAACACACTCTTTAAGAAAAACAAATATCATTTCAGTAATCTTAATATATTAGTAATATAGCAAATGCATGTATGCCATTAGGTTACTATTGTTGTTTTGTTGCTATATAAAAAATTTTAACTTAAAATGAATTGAATTAAACTCTTTCCCCTAGCTCCTCCTACAAGTGTTAATTAATCTAGATGAAAATGATAAGAAAAACTACCAAGGATACCAAGACTATAAACATCTATATAGCTGTTGGGAATTATTTTTAAAATACTTAAATCCTTACAAATCAGATATATTACATATAGTAGCTGACTCAAAATGAATGGCTAAATTATGGCTATGTTACGTGCATGTTTTTGTTTGTAAATCAATTTTAAGTGCAGTGACATTTTTGAGGTCACTGGAACGTGTTATTACACATATATGTAAATAACTGTTGATCAAAATGTGAAACCTATAGTGTCTGCAATTGACTACTTCGTCTTATACAATGACTCACAAAGCAGAAGATCCAATAAATATATAGGATATAATTCACATAAAATTAATAATATTTATCATAATAAAAATATAAAGTTGACATATGTCTGTGTTTTCATACATGAGCAAAGCACCGGACACTAGTTGACACAAATTCATGCAATTATATAAAAATCATTTTAAATGACCCTAAACACTGACAAGCATAAAAAACTAAGTATACTTTATACACACACTACCCGTAGCTTTTAATGATATAGCATATTGTATTACTAGATTTACAATTAAATTATGTGAAAACACCTAACTCTCCAAAGTACTTAACCAAAGCTTTAAAATAAATCTTTGTGGTGTAAATGCCACTAACATTTTCTTTTTTGTCATGAGCCCTTTAACGAGTGTTTGTTATCATCAGTGTTGGGGAGTAACGGAATACACGTACAGGCATTATGTATTTAAAATACAAAATATGAGTAACTGTATTGCGTTACAGTTACCGTTTAAAAGGGTGGTATTCAGAATACATTTACTTTGTTGAAATAAATGGATTACAC